ATATTTCTTGCACGTTTTGCACGCTCGTTCTGCACAATCCTTTTAATATATACTAAATCGATTAATAATAATGTGCAATGGCACAGTTGTTGTCGGAACCTAAGAACTATCATAAAATTCATTATAATAATTTATAATAATTTATCATTTTATTTTGTCAGTTATTAATATTATTAATATACCGAATTAGCCACGAAGAATTTTCCAAGTTATTAAGTTGCGATTAACCAGCATAATTTAGTTAATTGTGTCACAATCAGTCAGCTAATGATTAATTTTCCCTTGAAATTATTATAAAATAAGTCAATTGTCGCCTTTTTTGACGCATTGTTCATTCAACTTTTTTTTATTGCTTCTAATTTAATTTTAATTTTAATTTTTTTATTTTTTATTGTTGTTAGCTTTTTCTCATTTCAGAAAAATTTAATCTGTTCAGTTTTTTCTCGGAAGTTCTTTTTTTACTGATTAGTTTCCCTTCAAAAAAAATTTTCCTCTTAAAGGGAAAATTCATTTCAAATCTTTGCATAAATTTCTTGAAATGCGAATGATTATTGAAAAATGGAAATAGAAAAATCTGGTTTTATCGAATTATACGAATTAATTTCAGAAAAATTTCTCATTAAAATTTATTAATTCGCATTGCTTCACTTGGTGAAATTCCTTAAAGTTAGCTTTTTTTCAACACTTTTCGGTCATCCGGGCAGCACACACCCGCATCCGATCTAAAAAAAGGTATTATAACGAGGTTATTTAATAACCGTCCAATAAATTCCCCTTATCACCGAATTTATATTTGTGATTTTTTGTTCGATGCGTTTATATTTATATGCTTACACGATTACAGCTTGAAAATTTTCTTGCTGCATGAAAGCAATTTATGAATGTATCTGCGACATTGGTATTTGTGCGAAAAAAATGACTTTATTTTCAGATTTTCTATATATATATATATACATATTATACAATAAGTGTAAAATCAGGGTCATATATTGTGATTTATAAAGGAATTTGGTTCCATTTGTTCATTGGTCAAGGGGAAACGATATGTCCCAGTCAATACATTTTGGTTTGTTATATGATAATGGTTCGTCGGTTTTCATTTATTTTTTTAATTTGCATAAATTTGTTTCAAACTTATAAACATGGATGAAAAATTTTTAAATTTAACATCGAAAGTTCTATGGACTATAGATGAATGAATACTAGATAATCTACAAAGTATTCGTCAATGTATAATCATGGTATTTAACCTAGAACGAGAAAGAGGCATAATTTACAATCCAATTAGTTTTGATGTGTTTATTGAAAATGTGCTGAATCGTTGGTTGTTACTAGGTTTTTTTAAATCAGAATTTATGGACTATAAATATGCAAATTTTATTAATTTAGATTAAATTAAACTGAATTAATTTATAACATCAAATTTATTAATTTAAATGTAGTTTAAATTTAAATTTAAAAAAGCGATTAGAATTTAATCGCAAGAATTTTTTTCAGAAGCTTTTTTTATAGTGGTGCAGAATAAATTAAGTATGAGCAGTTTTATCCTTCGTTTGGTCTGATTTTTTTCTTAAATTCTTCAATGTTCACAGATTCTTCAAATATGACTGAGGTAACAAGTAACAGCTCAAGGAAACGACCTGCAGTTGACTCAGTTCATCGAGAAATACCATCAGTAAGTCGTCGTCGTAGAATGGCAGCTGTCGGTGCATCGAATTTTGTTCAGCAACCCTTTCATGGCTGCTGTATGAATGGCTAGTTGATTCGTTATTTTTATTTTTTTTTCCAATACTTTTTCTGTATCTCCGATTGATGCTGATGATTCTTCCTTATTTCCACCACTAAATGAGTCCTTGGCAAAATTTTTCTGGCCTGATAAGCCAGCAAAGCGAGCCTAACCAGAAATGGCGAATATTTAATCGAAAATCAAACAGTAATACTATTTTTCTTCATAAATTCTGAATTTTCAAATTTGAACGTTCTATTTGTTTTAAAATTTGCCGCAAAGTTTGTATTCGTTAACATTAAAATCTGAAAATGACCAAAAAGATAAAAGGTTACATTTAAAATTCATTAAGAAAAGCATCTAATTTGAAGAAAACGCGAAGGAAGTTTCTTAAGAAATTAGATTTTTATATTTTTTTCATCTTTGCATTTTCTTTGTTTTAAAAAATTCATCTTATCCTGAAATTGAGTAGTTATTTTTAGGTATTATACCACAAGCTGTACCGAATTGTTCACTGCAATCGGCACCACGAACATATGATGCAACAACATCCTCATTAGGAAGCGCAAATGGTGTAGTGCAACCTTTGCATAATGGTGTTTTAACGGAGTTAATGCCAGTTAATGGGCATGGTCGAATTGTTGCCTTACCTGATTCATCAGATATTAACACCATGGTATTTGTATTATTATTTCTTTATTATTCTTTATAATTTTAAAGAGTGTCATCGAGGTACCAACTGAAAAAGGTGATAAAATTTGCATCATCGCGAAATGTTTTATGTATATTTGGTATTGTAGAGCTTATTTTCTCGTTAAGCGAATTTATTGAAGTCTGAAGAGACTTAATGGAGATATGGTTGAAATATTGTGTTGATATATAAGATTAAGATTATAGAGTGTAACCGAGTGGTATTTTGCTTCATTTATGAATTTTGAGCTTTCTTTTTTCTTTCTTTTAAAAATTGTCATAAGGCAAGATGATATTTCTTTCTCACCTATTCTATTCGTTAAGTGATCTTGTGACTAAAGCGTGCAGTCAATAGAAGCTGTTATACAAGGGGCCCTTAGAAAAATCAAGATAAAGCAGTTTTTTTAACCCATACGACCAAATAATTATTTCATATTTCAGGTTCCTCTAACTCTTCATGTTTCACCTTCACTTTTGCCTGCTTACACATATGGATCACAGTTGGTACGATTTTTAATATAACCTAAAAATATCCGATGTGCAATATTTGAAATTTTCAAGTTATGATGGTATATGATTAAATTATGTTCAAATTTATTCGAATTAGTTATTAGTTTAAGATGTTTTCAGCTATGTTTTTTCTGCTTAATGTTTTTCTTTATTGCTATATTCTTTTTTATAAGCTATATTCTTTTTTATGTTGATATATCAGGGGAATACAAAAAATAAAATCCGGTAGCAATTCATGCTGTTCTATCTAGTTTAATCTATATGAATGGAAAACTGAATTATTTTCAGCAACAGCAACAAAATTTTGGTTATATTAGTACACCGGTGGATCTCAATAGTACACTACGTTTAGATGATGCCATTTTGACACCGGCATTGCTATCATCATCTTCATCATCACTTCCAACAGCTTCGCCATCAAACAATGTGCCATTAGTTGGTGTTCGCTTACCAACGATGCCAGTGATTTATTCACCACAACCGATTCACGATAATTTACATCATATAACTATGCCAATGCAATTTATGGTTGATGATGCCCGCAGGTGCATTTTTTTGTTTGGTAAAAAATAAAATTTATCAGTACTCAAATTCCACATTTTTTCAAAAAATTTTATTATTGTAATAACCTTTATTGCTTCTACAACAAATATTACAGTCTTTTCCTAAATGATTCATACTTATTAGACAATTTAATATTTTATTAATATATTTGTTCAAAGAGGTTTTTCATTTATTTTTTTGCTTATATTTATACATATAAATTATGTAAATTTGTATATAAATTTCTATATAAATATAATCGATTTAACATCATATGAATGACCTGAAGCTGATATACAGATTCATATATTGTTTGTATGCGTGTCCATAGGAAAAGCGCAATCACAACGCAGTCAATGATATTAATATAGTAAATATATTTTATGAGACCTTTATAAATAAATAATTTTATTTATTTATTACAATATGTTTTGTAACTTTGTTCTTTTCCCTTTTTTTTATTTTTTTTGCTTTTATCAATATTTACTACTAAAATTTCATAAGAATTAATGTTCCTGAAAAAGAATGAAAAGAAATATATTAAGATAAATATATAAGAAATATAGATATATATATATATTTATATATTTTATATATTTAAGAAATATATAAAATATATAAATATAGAAAAAAAAGAAAAAAAATATAAGAAATAATAAATGTATTGAAATATAGAAAGAAATATGTAAAGAAATATAAATATAAATATATTGACAAATTTTAAGTCGAATGGTTGAAAGTGAGCAGTGGGAACGTTCAGAGCAACGGCCATTAGGTCCATGTCCGCCTTCGATAGCGACAACAACAATACCAACTCACTCTTCACCTACGGATGTTGGTCGTGATGCGAGAATTGAATCGCTTTTAACTCGTGTGCGGCATGTTGCAGCTCAAGCTGCAGCACAAGCTGCAGCCAACGTTTCCGCTCATTTAATTCTTGCACATCATGTTCATGAACAATATCATGATCAGTCGCGTATTGTTGATGAAGCAGTACAACAGCAACAGCAACCACCAACATTAGCGCAAAATATGGTTAGAAAAATTTTTATCTAAATTTTTATCTTTTTTATCTTTTTTTTATGGCTATTTCTTAGGTATTTGCATTTATTTTTGGCCCATTCACAGTTTTTTAAAATTTCACTAAAACCTATTGCAAATGAAGATTCTTTTGTTCAACTTAAAATCCTACTTAAGGGTGACGGACCAGTAGCAGTACCAACATCACTAACTGAATGGCCTCAAATTTTGACGACAGCAGCAACAATGCATCCAGCAGCAACATCAGCATCGACAACGATAGCTGACAATACCATTGTGCAAAGTAGTTATGTACCATTTGATCATGGAAGAATAGTTAATGGTTTCAATAATCATGTTTGGGAATTGGCTGTACTTCAATTTTTTGATCGTGTTGCTCCACAGATGACTTATATGCGTTTGCAACCGAAGGGAATGCCAAAGTAAGATTGGAAAATTGGAACCAATCAGATTTTTGTTTTTAAATTTCGTTTGCTCAATTTTTATTCATATGTTTTTTTCCAGGAATGAAATCGATCAGCTGAAATCCTATCGATTATCAGATCCATCTTTACTAACTGAAAAATTGTGTGTTATATGTCAATGTGATTTCGAGAAAAAAGAGCAGATACGTGTTTTACCTTGTGATCATCATTATCATGTAAAATGTGTGGACAAATGGCTAAGAACAAATCGAACGTGCCCAATATGTCGTCAGAGCGCGGCATCCGATAATAGTGATAATAGTTCAACAGCAACGGCTACTGCGACTGCCACATTAACTGGTTCTTCATCGTTATCACATATTGCTGTGCAGGTTATCACTCAGGTCGATGGTGGCGATCAACCAAATAACCATTTTTAGCTGTAATATTTTCCAGTTAATAGGTATCAGTAATGTTGTATGTAATATGTCTTTTTTTTACTTTTACTTTATTCGGCTCCAAATATATTATAAATAAAATAACATTCTTTAAATGAATAGTCAGTTGAAAAATATATATATAAAAAATATATCTGACAATATCTAATGACGATAATGAAATCTCTATCGCCAGTATTTCTAAATTTTTCAACTGATAATTTTATCTACTATTTTGTCTTCTATTATTTTTTAGAAGTCTTTTAGAAGCTTTTTAATTTTTAAAATAGTTCTTCAAAGATATTATCAGTTGTAATGATTGCAAAAATCCGAATTATTGTTCTAATTTTTTAGCGATTTTTCTACAATTTTTTAATGAGATTAACGTTTTTCTGAGGTCTCCAGTGCCTATTTCAAATTGCCAAATTGAATATTTCGTCTTTTTCGATATATAAGTATTTAGAAAATGTTTTGCTAATTAGCTGATTTCCAATGAACATAAGAGGGTTTTAAAAGATTGCGTGGCATATGAGCACATATAAGTGTTGTTCTATTGTATAGGTTAGCTTTTAGAATATTAAGGTACTAATCGATCTAGTCAAAAATACTAATCGAAAAGAAAAAGGTTTTCGATCTGTATTTGGATTTCTAGGAATGTAGAACTTAGAGATAGAGAGAACGTTTTATCAAGCAGAGATTTCTTAAATATATGACTTAATGTATTTAAATTTTATTATTTGAATTTGTTTAAATAAATAAATGATATAAGGCTTAAATTTTTCTCTTTTTTAAGTTTATTTTAATTGATAATTTAGAAAAGTAATATTGATATAAGAATTTCTGTGAATCGAATTCATGTAAATGCGGCTCTATTGAGAATTATGTAGTGTAATTAATCTTTGCGACGAAAAAGAAGGAGGAAGGGAGAGGATGGAGCAGGGATAATTCGATTAAATAATAAGATAATTGATAATTGCAGGGAATTTTTATCTTCAAAATCATTGTGAATCTGCCAGAAATGCGAAATTTAGAATAAACTGCCAGTGAGATCTAGGAAGAATTAAAATTAAAATTTTTCCTGAACTTTAATTGAATGTTCAAACATTGCCACAGCTTTAAAATATTCGCGATGTTTTTATTATATAAACAAGAAAAAGGAAATTTTATTGCAGGCTTTAGGTTAGATTTCTTTTCCTATGGAGTTGTTTTGCTCGTTTTAGTTCATTCATATTTCTTTTAATTTTAATTCTTCCTAGATCTCACTGGCAGTTTATTCTAAATTTCGCATTTCTGGCAGATTCACAATGATTCTGAAGATAAAAATTCCCTGCAATTATCAATTATCTTATTATTTAATCGAATTTTTCCAACTTCTTTATTAGTACAACTTTTCGATTTTTTAAAATTAAAATTTATTTCATTAATAGTGATGTTGGTATTGTTAGGAAGAGGTGATAAGGTTCAAAACGAAAAATTCGATAAAGAAGGTTAACCTGAAATTTGTCAAGATATGATATTAGCTTGTTCGTATTAAAACATGCTAATTGAATAGATTGATTAGATATGCAATTAATTTCATTTAATTAATATGATTAGGTATTTAACAGATCTTGATTAAAATTAATGAATTAATGAACAGATTTTGATTAAAAAGTTAATAAATCTGTTGTAAAATTTATTTTTTTTAATCACCTGTTGTCATTATTATTTGTAATTGTTAATTTAATCATGTGATTTGTGCCTTTTGCATCCTTTTTTTCACTGTTTTTATTTTAAAAGGATTATTTTTTAATATTTCGAAAATGTTTTTTAAAGTTTAGTTTTCATTTCCAATGTCTTTAGATTAGATATTAGAAATTTTTAAATGATTTGTAAAAAGATTTTTCGAACGGAAAACGATAAAGAAAGAATATTTAAAAAAAAATACTTGGAAATTTTTAAGATGAGAAGGAAAAATCTTTTCTTTATCTTAAAAATTAATGTCTCTAAAAAATCGATTGTTCTGCTGCATCCCACTGGACATTTCAGGCTAATTTTTCAGGAAATGATCTTGCTCTTAATTTTGAGCTTGCAAACAAATGTTGTAATTAAATAAGTTGATAATTTCATTCAAATGAAAAAAATGGTAATTGCAACGAGCCCAACCAGTACACGAAAAACAGGTCGATTTAAGTCGATTTTCAAAAATTGCTTGGTTTATTTATCATAAATAATTTTAGGAAGGAAATAAGTTGCCACCTCCTCCTCTTTTTGTGGATGGAAGGGAGATTCAGTGGGCAGAAATCTGGAAAATGGATTGGCTGTCCCTGTTATCTTAGTTTTGCTTACCAGTTCTTCTTTTTGCCGCTTGTTGTCGTAAATCACTTCTTTTGTTTTTTGACGCTTTAAAAATTAATGTCGTCGGAATTCTCAATTTTCTTCTAAAATTTTTTGTTCCGTCAATTGCTCAAAATATGTCGGAAAATTCCAAAATTTTTTTTGTTTGTGTTTGCATAAATTTTTAAACACTTTTACCATTACATAACTCTTCAATCTTGCATTTTTGCGAACAAAAAAAAGAAAATATATATATAAATTGAAATAAGTAGTAAATGAGAATGAATGTGATTGATTTAATTGTAATTTTTTGGAGTTATTAGTTGGTCCTTTTGAAAACCTTTTTTATCACTAAAGTTATTTTTAAAAATTCATATAAATTATTCGATCAGCGAATAAAAATTATATGCAATTTTTTGCTAAAATAAATTTTTTTCTATAAGCATTAATAGTAAATCAGGACTAAAAATCACAAGAACTAAAAAAATGTCAGGACTAAAAAATGGAAAGAAAAATGAACAAGCGTCATGCAACTGTCAAAAAAATATGATAAGGTCTGCGATATAATAGGGTGGACGATCGCCAATAGAATTTTTGAAGTAATTTTAAGATAATATTTTAAGATAATAGCATGAATAATTTCATCCTTGGGTTTCACAATAATTTAATGTTTCGAAATGTGAAAAAGCAAAATTATTGAAAATGTTTATCTTATTGGAATATTTCTCAGATGAAATCTAATTTCCAAAGTAATAATTAATTTACAGATAAAGCAAATCAAAAAAACTAAATATTTATAGATAAATACATTTACAATTAGTAGTAATCAATTTCATATCGGTATCGGAGTAGTCTCATAAATATCTTTGTCGACCCAATCATCGTCTAAATCCTCGTCACCATCGAGCTAAATGAAATTTTGTGCATAAAATGAAAAGTTAAGGACCCATTTTTTAAAATGATAAGCTTTTAATGCAAAACATCCAGAATCAGTGGTCAAAAAATTCTAAAAACTTTTTTGGTTCATCCCATTCCAGTATTAGAATGTGGTATTTTGTGCTAAAACATTACAGGAATAAATATTGCTCAATATCCCTTCTTCTAACAACTCCATTTTCTGTTTGGCTGGATGTGTTTGCTATCGCAGAATCCAGCACCCTTCTACTTATATTGACTGGGCCTATAACTATGCGAAACCATTTTCACAAAATGAAAATGAAAATTGATTATTTTTATTTATTGATTAAAATTGAATTTTGAATTGATTATTGGAACTTTTAAAATTTGAAAATTTAATCCGAAATTAAAAAATTAAAATTGCTAAAAATTTCAATGAAAAACCAATTTTTTAAATAAATTTAAAGAAAAAAATAAAATCACCGCTTTTATTTCATTTTCGGTAAAAATCTTTGGTATTACGAACTGACGCAAAAAAACAAAAAGAATTAGAACAAATGGAAATGCAAGCGAAGTTTGTTTAAACATTTTCACCAAGTATATTGTTGTAAGACAAATGAGTTGTATGATAGTGAAAAGATGGATTCTCCATACTTTTACCTGTAAAAAATGGTAATTTTCGAGCATATTTTAAAAATATGAATATAAAAAACAAATAAGTAAAATAATTTTGATCAAAAAAATGCGTGAACTGACGGATTCTGTATAAGTTGTAACAGGAAAATACTTCGATGGGACAAAAACAAGAATGATTCGCTGAATGAGTTGAACTCCAGAAAGATTCATAACACCAAGATATAAAAAAACGCCAAATAAGGATGCTAATGGAAGTTTTAGATATGAGCCAGCAAATGCAACAAGTCCAATAAGTAATGAAACTCCAATTGTTGTTACTCTTTGTTCGATAACATGGTCAACCTCTGAAAAAAATTATTTAATGAGGAAGGCGTTGGAGTATTATGCTGTTTGAACTCGAATCTAAGCAATATGCTACTTGATTTCATTTAAAATTCGCAGCTAATTTTATTGCTGAAAGAAATTCTGTAGCGCTAAGTTTCTAGCTTGATTGCAGAAATAAAGGGAGCCATGCAACAAAATTATTACAATTATTTATTATTTAATTATTATATAATATTTACTTATTTATTTTATATTTATTAAAATAAATATAAAATGGACCTGCCCTTTCTCCTGGAACCGTTTTCCTCATAACTGTCAATGATCCACAGTGTGCTAATGATTGTACTGCAGCCGCGCACATCCAAGGTAAACCAAAAATACTGCATAATGCAATACATATGCCAGCCAATAATAAATCCCAATGCATACCTGCACCTTTCACTAATCCCCGATCCTTTCGGGTTAAAAGCAACCTGAAAATAATCGAATTATTTCTCGATTTTTATATTACCATTATAAACAAGTAGACAGCCATCAAGAAAAATAGTATTTATGTATAGCATTATATCTAAACTTTCGGCATCTCCTTTACAGAATCTTTAATAAATGCATAAAAGAATTTGCCACTTCCAAGAATGGATCAATTTTTAATCAAACTAAGATAAGAAAACGTACTCGGTAATTTCTGTTTCTACAAATATCAAAATGAAAACAAGAACAGAGGCAATGGGAGCAATAATTATAGCTTGCCAATTTAATGGTAACAATATAGAAATGATAATACCATGACCACGAGCGTTAGAATTTGTGAAATCGAAATGACTAGGCATCTCCAGTAGCTGAAGTACAATTTTTTTTGACCTTCATTATTTAATTTTGTGAAAAATTATTAGTTACATAACAAGCATCAAAAAAATCAAAAGACGATATAACTAATAATAATTACTGCTAGAGAAGCATCTGGAATCAAGAACTGAACAGCGATGGCAACAGTAACTATTGAAATTAGTATTCCAAAATCACCTATTGCTCGTCGTAGCTGTAACTGATTGAATAAAATCAAAAAATTTATTAGATAATAAAATATGAAATCCAATATAATAGAAACAAATCAAGTAAATGACTAGAGTTCACAATTTTTGGTTGGTCTCGCTCCACTGGAGTTAATTAAGATGAGAATTCTTAGCCAGGATGTCATGGAGTGCAGTTGGATTTTTTTAATAAACAAGTTTACCCATGTCGGCGGAGCTAAATCACTGGCTGTCATAGTAATGAGTAATAACTTCTAGCTGTCCTAACCATTTGCTTTATCTCCTTTATGAATTTAAGCCATCCATTTAAGTACAGTTTCCAGAAATCAATTTTGAAATCAATTATCAAATGATTTATTGTGAATTAAATTTTTCATGGTACTGTTCAATTAAAATTCAGTTTTAAAAATCTGAATTATCGATATTATCTTTTATTATTATCTGTTATCAATATTATCTGTTAAATAGAAGAAAGAAACTTACCACTCTTCCCAAATAAAAGCTATGACGCAATTGACGTAACCCGTAGGCAATAGAAAATGTGCAAAAAAGAATAATAATTGACAACAAAGCTGTATTTGGTTCCACTGAACATAAGAGACTAGTGGAATTAATCTGGTTGATTTCAACACATTCTCTGCGTTTTTTTTGATAGTATTCAAAATTTTTCACGGGATTATTGACAAAAGTCTGAAAAACGTTTCAAATTTGTGTAAGAATGTTTTTTAATAATTAAAGGCTATTGTGGAGATAAAGATTAAGATTAATTGCTTCTTCTGCTAACTCAATGTATCTGGTTTCATAAGCTAGGAATCTTTTTGGAAACACGTCACTCGAGGATAGTAGTTTAGATGGATCCCGAGTAAGACTCGAGTTTCATTTTTAATGACAAGTTCCTTTGTAAATTTTTTTCAAGCCTATATTAATCATATAATAGCAATTTTTGATAATAGCAAATAGTATTAATAGCAAGTTTTCGCCAAAAAAAAGAACAACTTGATAAATGAAGTAAAAGCTTTCAGCTATGAAAATAATGGAAATAAGAGACGCGAATATATCTTCGGTGAATCGAGTAACATAAATTAAAAGCTGGGATCCTTCAAGAGCAACTACAGTGGTTGCTATTAACATAACCCATATTCCAGCATGTAATCGCACAGTAAAAAAATCCAGATTGAGGCTTTCACAGAGCTGAAATTCTACTAATTATTTTTTTTTCTATCATACTGTTGCTATGAGATTTGCAATTTGCAATGCGTGTCAAATCCCATAAATAAATATTTTTTCCATCCTTCCGACTTGAACTTAATTTGTCATAATCCTAAAATGGATTGACCTAATCAAATAATCAATGCTAAAATTTCAGAAACAAATGATTAATAATTAAAAAACGAATAAATGATAAACAAATGAACCGAATTAATCTTTATTATTCCATAGAAATCTGGTTTGTTGCAAAATAAGAATCTTTTTGGAAATACGTCACTCGAAATAGTAGTTTAGTAGTAGTAATAATAGTAATAGTAATAGTATAGATGGATCCTTGTAATGGATTATTTAAAAAGACATAAAGGTAAAATTAAATTACGAACCACATTCAAGCTAGCTTCGAATATAAGCACAGGACCAGTTGCGCCGATGATCACCAGAGGCTGAGCAGAGAAAATCCCCCAAATTAAACCACAAATGCACTGGGCAACAAGAGTTTCAATCACGCCCATTTTTTCATTAGTATACTTTCCTGGAATATTTCGGAATTGCATGACGTCATTTTCACTAAAATCGAAATCTTAGATAAATGGGCACAACTATTCCGTGATCTTTTTTTTCATTTTCGGGCGAATTAGCCATCACATAATAAAAAAAATGATCGAAACTGAAAATTATGAATATTTCAATTCACCCATAAGACCACCAAAAGTGATAGCAGGAGCAAAACTAGCAAAGAACATAAAAACAATAGCTGTTAGACATTGAAAATTACAAGCGTCTTTATAATCAGACCTGAAATAAACGAAAAAAATTAACAAATGCCTTTACAAATAATAGCGTTTCTGCCTTTCAGAAAAACTCTTGAATTCAGTTGGACAGAAGCCTTTTCCAAGCTTTGGACGAAATTTATACCTTCCATCTACTGAAATTAAAACTATTATGAATTAGAGATAAAAGGAACGAACCAATATTTTGGAATCCTGTAGTTGATATCCTCTATTAAACCACTAAAAAAACGATACGATGGTTTACGCTTACGATTATCCATTTTAGTTCGAAAAATCCTCTTTAATGAAACCGTCTTAGAGACACTCGCTAAAATTGTGAATCTTGGTTCATGAATTTACTATGAAACTATAAAGTGAAAGACGATTTAATAGCAATTAAAAGTGAAATGGAAGTAAAAAAAAAAGTGATGGGTGACCTAGAAAACAAGGAATGCTAAGAATATAATATAAAATCAATCAGTGCTTAAAAGAAATTATCGCCTAAATTAAAAAAAGAAAGGTTTTTTTCAATTTTGCATTTGAACTCATTAAATGACAAAACTAAAATTATGATCCAGGACCGCAGAACAATATTGGAAAAAACCACAAGATAAACCAAAAAAACCCTAATTCAAAATAATCAGAGTATCGAGAAAATCTGACGAAAAAGAGTTTTATGGAAATCATCTTAGCAAAAATTATTTGCCATACACTTTTGGCAACTTTTCTTCCTTTGTTCGTTTCGTCGTTTCAAAGCTCGTCTTATTTCGTCTCCTGATAAAAGTCTCTTATTATCCACTTCACCAGGAGGTATTACTATAGAATCATCCAAGAAACCATCAATGCCTCTGATTAACTGCTCTCGGTTTTTCGCATCATATGCTATTTCGTTAAATTGCTATAAAGAAAATTAGGAGAGTTAAAGAATGAAAAATTATGAAATTATGAGCGTGCAATGTGCAATAGAAAAAAAAAATTTCTCATTCACTATGGATGTTAAAGGACATCCTCATTCTCTACCAGAAGTCAAGGAGGGTTCTTGAGGGTTCTGCGCAATTTTTTAGCTGCCCCTAACAGTGCCCTCTACTGTACAGAGATCTCTAGTGTTGTTCCTGAAATCTGTTGAAATCACTTTTCTATTTAGGAGTCGCAGTTCCTAATGCTCCGATTATCATTAAGACTTCTTTAACCTTCACTTTCCACATCTTCTCTAGTTCCTCTTTCAACCTCTGATATTTTTCTAGCTTCTCATAATTCTTTTTCCTAATGTTCTTGTCACTTTCTCTTGCTATATCTATCAGCGGTTGTTATTTTTGGTTCTTGTCTCTGCCGCAATATTTGTTTAATTGGTCAATATTTGCTAGTTTATTTGGATCCCATGGGGTAATTGTTTTATTATTCTCCACTATTTTCTCTGGAATCGCAGTCTTGGAAGGATCTAAATAATATATTGAACAGATATTCCTGTAAATAATGCCAGTTACTTGGTTATTTTCATTATATTCCTGTTTGAATTTTATATCCTACCCACTTTGTGTTGGACTGTTTCTGGGGAGTTTTGCAGAATTTGCGCCTGAAATCCATTTATGCAGCAGACCCTGCTTCAATGGATCTGGTGCATAGTATCGCCTTTTGTGCCTTAGTGATCAATACCTCAGTGCTTTTTTTTAGTCCAGTTTTTTCCAACGACTATATATATTTAGAGCACTGGAATAGCGCAATGATTAAGGGAACGATTAATATGAAATTTTGACTACAGGGTTCGAATCGCAGTCAACTGTGCCTTTCATGTGAGGATCCTTGAGCGAGATCTTCTGAGAGCTTATGATTTTTTAAATTTAAATCTCCCAGGCCTCTGATAGAGGACGCGAGGTTGAGGATGACCAATATTACCCATAAGAAGAGAGAAGGGAAATACGAAAAAATATTTAAAAAAGCAAGGCCTTTCTTTACCTTATCAACCATTAGTGTTGCAATTGATCGACCCAGCTCATGATAACAAACGTCGACCAAAGGGGGACCAATGATGAAAAAAAGGAATCGGGTTGGCACTAAACCATCGGCAAGTTCCGGCGTATTAATAGCATTGGTTAAGCGAATCATAACGAAATATGGTTTGACCAATTCATGGATGGTACCAACAAATACCTATAAGAATATAATCGCAAAATCGTATCTATTGATTTGTTTGTTTGATGATGTTTAATGACAAAAAGAAAAGAAATTGGCTGATCACATCCAAATACTCAAGTTGTGCAAAATTTCAAGCGATAATTTATCTAGAAATAAAATAGCGCTATCTGCGACAAAAAGAAAATAGATAGAACAAATTATGCAAAAATTCTCAGACAAATGAAAATGCATTTGTCTTCACCAACCTGTGCAGCTTCAGTACCTTCAGGAAGTTTCCGTGAAAAATGATCCTTGGATTGAAAAAGTTCTGATGAATGTGTTCTAAATGGAAATTGGAAATTGTTACAGCAATCAATCCTCGAAAATTGCCATTTTAACCTAACATTCGAGGGCTAATGCTAGAGAAATGAAAAATACTATTCTTTACACTTTATCGTTTTTTCTTTCAAAAAAGGATTATTGTAACGACAAAAAAGTTTATAAAAATGTTGGCAATAACGAGGATATTAATGGCCTGCATTTTTACTGCCAAATGATTCTCTGGCGAAATTTGGTCTGATAAGCCAGACCAACGAGTAACTAGAAAGGTAAAAATATTTAGTAGAATCTTATGAAATGTCATTATCTATTGAAGGCATCTGCTGAACCACTTTCTATCATAAATAATTTATCTAAGATTCTAAATTTTAAAAATTTGCAAAAAAATATCCAAAAAAATTCTGGTCAAAAACTAACGCTTCAAATGTATTTGACATGAAATGCATTAGTGAAGGACGGCACCTTTTCATAGTTCCCGTTTTATTTGCAATTGGCGGTGAAACAATTGGTAATGAAATATTTAGAGAACTTCAATATCATATTTATTTAATTATTATCACTGTATTTAAAAAATATTTTGCAATAAAAATGCTTTAAAAATTTCAGTCAGTCTTTATCTAATTTTTTCTCATCATTTTCAATGATTTGAATAATTTTATTGATGTCGTGATCAACGGATAATGAAAATGAATTACTTGGATTGTTTTGCAATCATTCGGCATCCTTGTTGATAATTCAATAGAGATGATTCAGTTTCATCAACCTCAGTTATTGCCGATTGCAAGTGCACATTATTCCTTTGAAATGATTGCTGCCAATCTGTAATATCTCATTTCTAAATGTTAATTATTATAAATTATTATCACTATCACTATTATTATTATTAATTCTGTTATTAATTTTATTTTTTTGTCGAGTTTTTTCATTTTTTTTTGAAAATGTGTCAAATAAAGTGAAATTTTGGAATCTCAAATATATTGTACTACTACAAATACTTTTCAAATAGTTAAATTGCTTTTTTAAGGAAATTCAGAAAGTTTTTTTTGGAAAATTCAAAAAGTAAAATGAAAAATAAACGAGAAAAAACTTGAGATTTATGTGCATTTATGATTTATGCGCATATGTTTATTTAATATTTTTAATATTTTTTATACTTTTTTTAACTATATAGTTTTTTAATTTTGAACATAAATTAAAAATATTTATATGCCATATTTATAACTAGAATTTCCGTTATCAGACTGATTAATTTCGATTTTTTTTTCTTTTTCCATCAAAATTTCTGCACATTTGTGTAATAGGTTCATTTTAAAAATGCTGACAGAAATGCAAAATAATAATTGAATTTACTTTTTTCATTATAAGCCTTTTTAAAAGTTTTCGAATTTTCCTGGATAGATAATGATGCTAAAACACATGAAGACAAATTGCCAGCAGGTAAGTTAGTCACAGTTATTCGAGAAGAATGGCGTGCACATGGATGTCTGAAATGTATTTTAAATAATGTACTATATGCACTTGGTCTATAAATGCTCCTAATTAGATAGTGGAATTATGAAATCCACTGAAAATTTGACCCCTTAACTTTCTTCCATTTCTAAAAAATTGAAAATTCTAAGAACAGACTCGCGGTTTCCTAATTAGTATCCAGTGAGTGAAAATATCTTCAAATAACGGAGAACCTTACTTCATTCGTAGCATATCTACGGTTTGTTTCACATTTGTTGCATTCATTCCTTCTATTTTCATTATTTTGCCAATATGTTCACAAATATCAGCAAATGAGGAGACATTTAAATCGAGGTTGATAATTCCTGCAAAACAAATTGAAAATAACTGATTCACATGGTTTAAATTTAAATGGTTTAAAACTCTTGAAATAGAATGTTTTGATTTAAACTTTTCATAGTGTTTCTTTTACGAGGAAAAACTCAACAGAAAACAGAAAACTTAATTGAACCTTTAAGCACACATTTTCGTAACTGAATTAGCGAATGAAATGATAAAAAGGAGACATGTGGTTGACCCCAGTGATGATCAGCTCCTTCAATATCCTTTAAATTCATCAATTAGATTAATTGGCCGATTATAAAAGAAGCATCTTTACGAGAAAGAAAGTTATGAAAAGAAACATCAGGAATAACGATATTAAAATTTAAAATCATGAAATAATTGATTATTTTACTTCCTCATATTTGATCCAACGGGCTGTTTCCGTCCATTCGCCATTTTTGTCATGAAATTCGAGATCGAATAATTCGACAAGCACCTCAAAATTTCCCATTTTGTAACAGAAAATTAATGGATAAAATGAATTCAATGAAAATAATTAAAATAGCAAAGTATACCAAATTTTTTTCAAGATTTACAAAGTTTTCTGCTTTAAAATTGAACTTTTGACCATCAAATTTTTCAAACAGCATTCATTATCCCTGGTTTGCCCGCCTCTACTGGCTATTAAGAGAATGTCCCTCTGCAGGATAGTTATTTCGAATATCCTTTTTTTGGCGACAAGTTTGCTCTCCATTAAATAAGAAAAAACCTAGCGCTGCTCGACCTTAGTCAAAGCAATATACATTATTAAACTTTAAAAAAAGAAAATAAAATCTTCCTCCTATTAGTGGAAAATCAGAAATCGGCGAAAAAACCTTATTTTGTTTCGAGTGATGCTTAGCATGTGGTTCTTCTTTCATAAAGGAAGATTGTGTTGATAGCGATGAGAATGATGGCTGCTGTTGATCGCCAGTGATCCCATCCAATCCTAAAATTTTAAACCAAAAAACCAAAATTTCGTAAAAAAATAAAAGCAAATTAAGAAAAATCTTAAGTAATCGTTATTCATGCAATTAAGAATATTTTTTAGAATCTTCGATTAGCAATTATATTTTAGCTGAGAATTTAAAGCAATTAAAGCAGAAAAAAAAAGAAAAGTAACTGAGAACATCTAATTTTTAACAATTTTTGCTGTTTGTTAATCACGTATAAGTTGCCTTAAATTCTTAGTTCTTCCTGCATTACACTAAACTAAACGAGGTCTTTCGGCCTTTCTATTAGAACCCAAACCAACAAACCCGAGATATTTTCGGTGTATGATCCAATACTGTTCAGTTGATCATTCGTTAATTCATCAGCAAGCATATTCATTGTCCCAGTAGAGTTTTTTCGAACTGGTCGGAGTGAATCAAAAGCACCACCAGCTGATCTCATTATTGATTAATTTTATAAAGGTATATGAATTCATAAAAACATAAATTGAGGAATTTACTAATTATATATATATATATATATATATACAAATATATTATTAATGTTATATGAGCACTGATGTGGCAATGGCTTGTTTTACTTGATAATTTTGCACTGCTATATTTATTTGGTCTGTAATAGATCTCACTGCTCATCATCCCACATTTTCGACGTAACAATGTGCCACAGCAAAAATAAATTAAACAAACCAATCGCAAATTTAGCTTTTTGCTCATTACTGATATGAAAATTTTCATTCAATAATTCTTCCATAACCAATATTTTAACCAATATTTTTCATGATTTTCACTGAAATTAGAAAAACTTCTGCTAATGAATTGCATGTTTGATTCGTTTGAAAAATTTCTAATTATTAGCCGTTTGGATTTACATATATATATATATATATATATATAGCAATAGCAATTTTATCTAATTTATTTATTTTTTTATCTGATCTATGATTGAATTTTAAGCCGAAATTAAAAATTATCTATAAATGGACCAATTCTTCCCAAAATTTCTGGAATAGCTTGTTTCATTGGCCGCTAGCATAAAACATCGGATCCAGAAAATCTCTTAAAATTAGCTCATCACTACTCGTGTATGACGGCAAGGATTTATTTTAATTTTTTAAAAAGGACACGTAAATAATTGGCCAGTTGCCAAATCCGAAAAAAAACGGATCATTACTCGATAATCCAAGAAATTAAACATTCTATTGGCACTTGTTTTTCCTTTCAATAAAAATTTTGATAAAAGAGATGAATGAAAGAAGAAAGAAGAAAATACGGTAATGGGCGTGATTACGAGGAGATCTTAAGGGACGTGAGGAAGATTTCGCGAGCCATTTTAATCTATTTTTATCGGACTGCTAATGACAATTTTCACAGCTATCGAAAAACTATAACTGATTGGAAATCATTTAAAGTGATTAAGTGATTTTAAAAAAACTTGAAACTTTGGGTTCTGTGTTCCATTACTATTAAGCAAAAGTTTATTTGAGAAAATCAAGGCAAACAACTAATTGCTAACGCTGTCCTCGGACAGGGCGAGATGAAAAGGTTAAAGGGCTTAAAGAAAAGCTAAATGTTCCATTGCGAAAAACACCGAAATTTGAAGAACCATTTTTTTGGAAGAAAACGATGACATTAGTAAATGTTTGAAATCTTCCTCTAGCATTATTTATATAGGTATACTCATAGGTTTCATTACCGCTCTCCATCTTTTTCTTCTAGTTTTATTTTCTGAAATACCTGAAAATAATTTCACCTTTTTAGGCTTTTTTTACTTGCACTTTTCTTTTTGACTACATTGATTTATGAGTTTTTATGTATTTAAAATTCAAAATTGATTAGAATGAGAAAATTTGCAATATGAAGTAATTAAATTTTTTAACGCCTAATTTAAAATATCATCGAATGAAAAATTTAGAAAAAAAATAAGCGAAAAATATTCGGTCTAATGAGATTAGCTTCATTACCGAATAAAATCCTATAATTTGTTGAGATATATAAGTGATATATACTGAATAATAATGATAGAGAAAAATAGCATCACTCATAAACTTGACAAGTTGGTAAGAAATAATAATTAATTGAATAATGATAACTAGTTTGAAGCGTATTACGCCCGTATACGGATATTAATGTTAACGGAACGGTGTAGGTATACGCTTCATTTCGCTTCATTAGCATCAATTGATTTGCAACGGAAGGAGTTGACTCGACTCAGTACGGCTCAGCTTCTCAATAATAATTCGGCTATGTGCCTATTACTATGTTGTCTATTCATATTTCATGTGTATGAATATATGAATGAGTCTTATTCTCATGTCTACGCTATTGAAATAGGAAGACGAATTAGCAATAGAAATTAATTTAAAGGCGAAATAAAGAGGAAAATAATATAATATAGTACAATTCGAAGCAACTGTATTATACATTAATCGTATGGTAAAAATCAAAATTTCAGAGATTTCCTGTATGATGTGAATTTTTTAAATAATAAATGAATAAATGATATTATGTAATCTTTTTTTAAAGATTGCTAAGGATGACGCACAAGTTATATCGTTCGGGAATTTATTCCAGTAATTAGTAGTACGAATAAAGAAATCATGAGTCCTTAGTTTAGTTTTATACATAGGTTTTAGCAATTTCAGCCCATCAGTTCTTGCTGGATTTAAATTTAGCCTAAAATTATAGTATTTTAAACAATCTAGTTTAAGATAACCATACAAAATCTTATAAATTAAATCTTGTTAAATTCGACGAATTGAGAGTCCAGGCCCCCGATAGAAGAAGAAATAATAATTATTATCTATAAGCTTTAGGCCAATAATTTGTTTCCCTTTTTTGCAATTAGGAGAGAGGAGTCTTATAAAATACTTTTGGAGTTCTTCAATTATTTTACTTGATTTACGATATCTCGGGGAGTATTGTAGTCAAGAAGTGACCGAACGAACGCATTGTACATTTTGATAAGAAAATCTTCAGTTTTTTTGTTAAACGAACGAAAAATAAAATTTCATCTTTGAGGATTTCTTTACCATGGTTCTGCAGTAAAGGTCTAAATCAAGATTTTCATCCATGATTATTACAAGATTGGAAATGTGTGAGACTCTAAATTACTATTTATAAAAAGGTTAGGAAGATCGAATCCTTTAGAGATGATGTGAAGAACGCTACATTTTTGAAAGGAAAGGGTAATTTGCCTGTCATATAGCCAGTCAGCTATTCTGTTGAGGCCCTTCTACTGTGGAGATAGGCTCTCTATTACCCATGAGAATAATAAATTTTATATAATCATCAGCACAAAGATAAATGGTAGAATTTAGTACCACATTTGTGATATCATTTATATATGATAGAAAAAGCAATAACGCAACTACCTCGAGGAAGGCCAGATTTAACAGGTCTACGTTTAAGTAAAGAAAATCGGCAAGAAAAATTAAATAGATACACTGAAATATATACTTATTATATGGTTTCAGTAAACTCCCGTGAAATAATAATTTAAGTTATAATAATTTTAGAGATTAATAAATATTCATTTTGCAATCAATTCAAAAATTCTAATTAAAATAAGTTTATGTTTAAAATTACTTTTTTTTTTATTAATTAGCGATTTGTTCCAAATGCATTGACCCAATAATGATATATCGAATTTGAATCACACCTATTATACAGTATACAAGTACTGCAATTAATTTCTTTAAACTTTTCACTTATTGCTGACATTTCTCTCTCTCTTAAAAAGTCCTCACCATTATTGGTTAAACTCGCCTCACTGGCTTGTCGCATTGGGCAATATGCCAAGGAGTCCCTTGGCGATAGAAATACAGGTGAGTCGCCATAGTTGACATTTATGACACAATCTCAGAATCCGCAAGTACCGCAAATATGCATATATAAGTTCAATAGTTAATCCTAAGAGAAGATCGAATACAGCTGAATATATCTTTGCCTTTATTTCAACGCTAACGATTATTAAATTACCGTTGCATGAAATGGTTATGAATGAACTCGTTGAAAAACAGTGGACTCTTGCCATCAAATGGTTTCAGTCCCACTGATTATTAAATATTTTTCACTTAAATACGAAATGCAGTTGCAGTTAAATAGCAAATTTATTTTATAATTCATTTTATGATTTGTATTTATCCTATAATTAATAATTTATAATTTAATTCAATTCTAATTATTAACCAAAATGTTGGAAAAAACTCAAAAATAAAAAAATTTGGTCGAAAATTAAAAATGCAGTAGATGCATTTTGCTCTTTTTTCTCATTGTTCCGATCGCATTAAATTAAAAATCAGAAGCAGAAAATAACAAATTTTTTAACAAATATAACTAAATTTTTGAAGAAAAAAGTACTGAATAAACAAATTATTATAATTGTCGAAATATTTATTAATATTTATTCATTAAAATATAGTCCATAATGCGACGAACAAAAGCACTTGTGGTGAGGAGGTTAAGCCAAAAATCAATAAAAATAATTCGTCGAGGTCAAATTAATGTAGGATAGGCATAGGCCTTTTTCTTTGGTTAAACTCGCCTCACTGGCTTGTCGCATTGGGCAATATGCCAAGGAGTCCCTTGGCGATAGAAATACAGGTGAGTCGCCATAGTTGACATTTATGACACAATCTCAGAATCCGCAAGTACCGCAAATATGCATATATAAGTTCAATAGTTAATCCTAAGAGAAGATATATATAGCCGAGGGCTATTGCCCACGGCTATATATTACGCGATAATAAATAAAATGCTAAATGCCAGTAAAAATGATAACGCTTATTTGTTGCAAAGATTTTCAGACAATTCATATTTATTTCATTACATATTTATCACCTCTGCAAATGCATTTAGTGATTTATAATTATTTTGCATGTTAGCTACTCCTCAACTGCATCTTTCCTCCTTTCAACTTTCTTTTTCCTTCACTATTCTTTTTATTTTCAAAAAAAAGGATTCAGCTGAAATATAAAAATAAATAAATAAATTTATAAATTATAAATTATAAATTTTTATTAAAATTTTCAAATTCATCTAAATTACAATTTTTGAACAACAATTCTTTGAAAAAAATTCTTGTTAAATCATTATTTAGTCATTTTCATTTGAAATAATTGCATATATGAATGACACTGAATTCAATTTGAAGTCTTAAAATTCAGTTCACATTCTTCATTATTATAATTTCTTATATTTAGAATTTAAATTTCCCATTTGGATAATTCTCTACCTTTTAAATTGCCTTTTAAATTATAAATGAAAACTATGAATTGTTCTTAAATGAAGTATGAATGAAAGAGAAGGATAATAACAAAATATGAAAAAAAATGTTTGAAACGAAACGAAAAAATTCATTGATTAATAAAATATTATTTGAATCATTTTAGTGATAAGAACAATGATTCTATAGATTTCAACCGATGATGCATTGCATAA